GAGCCATTGTATGATAGTGAATTAAAGGAGCCCTAAGGGGGGATGAGGAGATTTCAGAGAAGCTGAATTAATTATTTTCATCAGACTTCACTGCTGAGGATGAAGAACAGATACCTTTCCCTGAGCTTATGTATTCTGGAAAGGGAGTTTGAAGAATTAAGGCAGATAGCAGTGACAAAGGATGAAATTCTCCTGACAAACTGAAAATCAGCAAGTCACCTGATCCAAATGGTATCCATCTCAGAGTTCTCAAAGAATTCATTCATGATATTTCTGACCTTACCAAAATATTTAATATGTCCCTAAAATTAGCCCTTGCACCATAGGATTGGAGAATGGCCAGTGTAACACCAATGTTAAAAAAGGAGTCTGGGGGGGCGGGGTGATTCAGAAAATTGCAGGCCAGTTAGCTGAACATCTCTAATGGGTAAACTGCTTTAAAGTATGATTAAAGACAGAAGAATCAGTAAGTACGTAGAAGAACAAGTCCTGCTGAAAAGAAAACTAGCATTGTTTCTGTAAGGCCTTGTGCTTGGCCTACCATAATACAGGGCAGGCTGGGGAGGTGCTTGCTGGCCCTGCTTCCACTGTTTGTTTCTACTGCTTTCTACATAATGGAGGAAAAGGTATGTAAAAAACAGCTTTCTGTACTAAGGTAGGTTCCCTGCTTGATTCAGATCATGGTACACTCATGGTTCTCAATAGAACCTAGACAGGTATAGCAGACTTCCTGTGGCAGTCCTTTGCCCTCCAGTGACTGGGAAATGATGAAGGAGCAATAATTGCTTGTGCATTTCTGCTGTTACACAATCCTAATTGCATGAGGCTTTGAATGTTTTCTTAAGGCTCATGTCCGTGCATTACTGCTGGTTCTGCTACTCAGCTTATGTGCATTTCTGACTGTTTGACTGTAAGGAATTAACCTTCAGATCATACAGCTTGGACATGACCACATACTTTGGTTGTGGTTGTTTTGCTTTCCTTAGTAGGCTGGTCCTTTAATAGAATTTGGTACTGACTGTGAAAAATGATATGTCCTTGTCTAGCTCGTGTTTAAGTGGAATCAGAACCAGTTGAAAATGTATTGTTTGGTGTCGATGATCTGTGGGAATGGGTACAAAGCCAAATATCACCAGTGAATAGCACTGCTGGTACTCTTTGTTTGTTCGGCATATAACAAATGGTTCATACTGGCTGAAGAATATGTACAAGAAGCATTTCTGCAGAACTGAGTCTGACACTGCGTACGTGCCTCTGTCTACTGTGCAACTAGCAGCTGTTACAATAGTGTCAAGATTAATCCCATTAGCCCCTAATGACCAACTGTTCCTGATGATTATCCTGCCTTTGGCTCATAAAATTTAGACAATGAATTAGCAACACAAGTGGAATTGTTGCCCTTTCCCCCAAATTGAAATGGAGTGGAATAGCACAAACTGAGATATGCTAGAAATCTGAAATTAAAAATCCTGAAATGATGTTTTTTAAAATTAAGATTGAACTGCTTAAAGATTGTTGTAAAATAAAGAAATTCTAATTACAGGTCTATGGCTAACTTGTTTTTTTTTTTGCATAATGTGGAAAAGAAATAAAAGAATGACAAGTGAGAAGTGAACAGCAAAAGATAATTGTTTAAAGTACTTTTAATCTTCTAGGTCAAAAGAGGTCCACATTCAAGTAACTGTAAGACCTGCCAATTGGTCAGTCCCATTTCCCTGTGATCAGAAGAAATGTATTCTTGTCATCCTCATATGAGTTGGAATCTTCTTCCAATTTCTTCCTAGTAGATTTCTGAGGAAGTGGAAAATAATAAAGTACAAATGTAGAGAAGGATAAAAGAACTGGTAACAGCTTAGTGTTGTGGGACATCCACTTCACATGGATATATAACTTGTGTTTGATGATCAGGGCTAAGGGGGCCTAACTAGTGTGGCTAGTGCAGACAATGCTTTTATGAATTACACTCTTTCAAATGGGGAATAGCTATTTCGAAATTGCAGGAATTAGCACAGACCGTCATTAGAGTTCAAAAGCATGGAGCCTTATTTTTTGCATAGATTTTTGTTCTTGTTGTACAGATTCCTCGTTTAATATAGGCACACTCTAGCTTATGGGGCCAGTTCTAACTGGGAAGGTGGGAAAGATGAATATTGGGGAAATAAGGGTGGGAGGTGGCGTTATGGAGATGGCCCAGCTGGAGATAGGAATGCTGTGCGAACAACTGAGCTTGGGTGCTTGTGATAGTGATAATGATGATGGGCAGGCATGATAGTCGTGGTAGATTTAGCATGAAAGGAGAGAAACTAGTGCAGGAATGGCTTTAATTGCCTGTCTTCAGAGGAAGGGAAAACAAAAGGACTTAATCTACCACTTGGCTACAAAAAGCTGGAAAACTGTTTTGGTGCAGACCACCCTTGGGTTTCTCAACCCAGACTGTAATTTACAAAAAGGGGCATAAGCTTCAGGTCATTCAGACCTTGTTGAAAACAAAACATCCTTGTTCACAGACATCCAAAGGAATGGCTTTTGAGTATACATGGATGAGAGACACTGAATTAAAGCTTACTGAGGAACCTGCATCACCAGCATGAAAATGGGCCTTTGTTTTAGAGTTTCCTGTTAGATTTAGGAAGGTGTATTCAAAGCAAGTCTTTCTGGGAATCTCTTCCCCAGTACCTTAAGCTCACTGCTTGACTGCCTTTATTGAACTCTAAGCTGAGAATTCACACAGAGATGCTGGATAGTCTTTCATATCAAACTGTGACCCTGGGCTTATGGAACCGGGTTTTAAGCTGCAGTGAGTCCTTCATAGAGCTTGCTTTCTAGGTGTACAAGGGCAAACTTGACAACCTCTGTGGCAGTCCAGAGCTTTAATAATGATGCTTTGGGCAGTTTTTCAGGTTGTACCTTCCAGAACCAAAATGGATTATCTAGTCAAGGAGTTAGGCAGTACCAGCTGAATGCAACATATCTGTGTTAGAGAACCAGTGCACACCTAATGTTCTTCTGTGACATTAAAGACAACTCCAGTTTCCCATTGCTGCCGTATGTTGCATAAAGCAACAATAAAAACAAAACTAGCTGACTTAATCTATAGTCCCTCTGGCACATTGAGAGTAAAGCATCTCTCCTCTTGCAGAGTACCCAACGTGTGATCAGCTAACTTGTTCCAATGGAGCCTGTTTTAATGTAAGCCAGCACTGTGATGGTAAAGTGGACTGCAGAGATGCCTCTGATGAAGCCAACTGCAGTAAGTACTGCTTCCGCACATCCCAGAACAACAGACACATCTTCCAGTCACAATAAAGTAAAAGCTTGGATTTGTTTCTAGGCCATATTCATGATCCTTTCATTCTTTCCAGCTCATGGATGCTCCAATACCCAGTTTCAGTGTAGAAATGGAGAGTGTATTCCTCGAGCCTTTGCTTGTGACCACGATGATGACTGTGGGGACCGGAGTGATGAAACATCTTGCAGTATGTTTGCTTTCTGCATTATGTTCCAGATAAAATTTGGGGCTTTACTTAGGTTGTGCTTTGTGATTTGCTTGTGCGCATTTATGTTAAATATTGACTGTGAGTCTTTAAAATTATTCTAGCAGACATAGCAGCAGTGCTTCATTAAGTAAGTAATGTTCAGTTTGAAAGGCTAGATAACATGTTTGTGAGTTTTTTCAGTAGGAAAGCAGGATCAACTGGATGTACTTAATTTCAAGCTGGTGTCATGCTGAACACTGTTTCTCTGAGGCTGGAATTCCTAAATATATCGGGCAACTCAGTATTACTAAAGCATAGCATAGTTATATGGGATGTCAGTTCTTTCTATTTGTTCCCTTATGGTGTTCCAAAACACTGTGGTGCTTTTCTTGCATGGTCACTTATGAATCACCAAAAAAGAGGATGCAGTATTGCATAAAATTTGTAGATAGCAATTTAAATGTATAGATGCACATCTAGAACTGACATTGTAATTTAAATTGTAATAACCACTTCTCATCACAGTGGGAAAACTGTGAGCAGGTGACCTGTATGCCTTTCCAGTCTGCTGCTCAGGTGCTTACCCTGGGTGGTCATCCACAAGGCCTCTGCTCTTCCTTTTAAAATCAGGGCTGGACAGTCCTTCTGATAGAGAATACCTGCAAACAGAAGTCTGTCCTCTGTAAAATAGAACATATAGACTGGGTTCAGACAGGGGTTGAATATGGGTTTGGTGTGGGTTGTTACTGAACTGTAGATTGTTGCCAAAATGTGGGTTATCATGTAATCTGAACCCTGCTGCACTAACAAGATAGGGCTTGTTAACTAAGAGCAACCCATGGCTTGTTTTTCGATTATGAACAGTAAGCGATTGCTCACCAAGGTTTGTTATTTTGGCTGGGTTCAGACAGCACAATAATCCACATTTTAACAATAACCTACGTGCAACCATGAGTATATTCTCTATTGCCTGAATACAATCATGGGTTCTCTTCATGGGTTATTTGTAGTTCGTGAGCCATGGCTTATTAGCACAGCTGTGTTCTGGCAACATAGCAACCCACATTTCTGCAACAACTCATGGTTCCACAACAACCCAAACTCAGCCCTTGTCTGTGGGTTATCATTTTGCCTGAATCCAGTCACAGCTTACTCTTCTTGCCTCATTAGGAGGCAGATATTTTGAAGAAAGATTAAGTCAGGAGCTGGACTGGGAAGTACCCCACATTTATTACCTAAAGCTACCTATCTAAAGCCAGTCTTCTTCTGCCACTGATTAATGGTTGTGGGTTCCCCAGATCTGATCTGATCTACTGGTTTAATCTGAGTAAGGATCAGGTTCTCTTACCTGCATTCAAGGCGGAGAAGAAAGGAGTAAGAAGACTACAGTAGTGAGTGCTGAACCTTGCTGTGCTGAGCTTGCTTCAGTTAGTGCAGTTTCATGTATATGTGCTCAAGGTTAAGGGGGCAGCTTAACAGTTGGCATGTGGAAGGTTTTTACTTCTGGTAAGGGGTACTTGCTGCTCTCTTCCTCAGCATATGCAGCTTGCAAAGGGAATTTCTACACTTGCCCAAGTGGTCGCTGTATTCATCAGAGCTGGATTTGTGATGGAGATGATGACTGTGAAGACAACGACGATGAAATGGGATGTGGTAAGTAAGAAACTAAAATAAGTTTCAGTAGTCCTATTTGCAAATAAAACCTTACTCTTCTGGTAAAACTTAAAAACCAAGTTTTGAGTATAAATCAGAATGTTAGACTGTGACTCAGCAAGCCTTTACAGGTGTGTATGGGCTGCTTTTGGGATTCAAGTGATAGTATCAGAATGTCATGGTAGGCCACTGTGCAGCAAGTAAGTGTCATGTGATATCATCCGATATGTTTAAGGGATAGGATTTTATTTAAGGGATAGTAACTTCATGTGTCACAATAATGCATGATACGTGGCATCAGGGGTCCATTCCTGGATAGGTGCTTGGGCACATGGAGCACAGCATTTTGGCATATGTGTTGATAATGGTGGAGACATTGGCTTTCCGAAAAGGAGATTATTGTAGCCCATATCTCTTCTGAGGTATTTGCGCTTACTAAAGTTTTCCAAAATATTGTTGAAATCATTGAGCTTCACCATTAAGTTTACTTGAACAGACACATTATCAGTAGCATTTTAATTTAGTATGTATTAACACTTTCACAGTACCAACAATATTTTTTCTAAAGAAACAGACCTGCTTCACATGCTCATATTTTTACAAATTGACATATTGGGATTCATGTAAGCCCCCAGAATTAAGGTAGAATAGCTACAGAAGCACTGTTCACCTCTGTGCCCTCTTACTCAGAGGAGGAGAGAAGGAGACTTCAGGATTGCCTGTGTCTTGGCCACTCCAGTCTTCTTCCTGAAATTCTTCCTTGAGTTCGCCTTCCTGATCTTGGTGTGCATCAGTGGTTCTTCCTGCATAAGTTGATGCTGGGTGGATGTGGAGAGTCTGGGAGCTCAAAGTTAGTTAAGGTCATCTAAAGAGGAAATGTAGAAATGTCACTAACACATGACACCAAACATTTATATTGTAGAGAGAGAGAAGTCAAACAGCTACTTGTTGAATATATACTTGTTGGTAATCCCAGGGTATTTTCCACATAATGTGTGACTTGAAAATGAAAGGGAAAGATAGGCTGCTGGCCTCTGTTCAAGTAATGCTATCGATCAGCTTCCAGATATCTTGGATTCACATCAGACTCGGCCATCATAGCTAGTGGTCAGGAATCCTGGGAGTTGTAGTCCAGCAGATGGAGAGCTAATAACAAACCCCGCTGAATACACCTAATACTTCTGCAGACCTGGAATTCAATATGACAATAGTGTGTAACAATCTCTGTTCTGTTCCTCAGAGAGTGGTCATCGAGAGTGCTACCCTGGTGAATGGCCCTGCCCTGTATCAGGGCAATGCATTCCTATTGGTAAAGTCTGTGATGGGACACCAGACTGCCCTGCCGGAGAAGATGAAATGAACATAACAGCAGGCAGACTTTGCAGTGAGTAATAGTATAAGCAAGGTGCATGGAACACCAGAATTGCCATATGGGTGGTGCCAGTGCATCCCAAGCATAGCATTAGATACATGGAAGGCATTTTAAATCATGTAAACAATAAAACTCCATGATTGTTACAGCAGGACTGGCAAAATTTTGTTTACTATGATGCATAGTGGCTGAAAAATCTTTCTTGTTTTGCAATGCTTCTAGCACACAGAGGGATGTCAGTGCCCATATATACCTGCTTGGATTCCTAAGTTATCTTCAAGGGGTCCTCCTTCAGGTGTTGAAATCTAGCCAAGTGGCTATAAGAGAGAGGGCATTCTCAGTTGTGGCACCTACGCAAAGAGTTTCTCCTGGCACTTTTATTGTTAAAGACTTAGTTCTTGATTTTTATGGCTATTTTAATCATTCTTTCAGTTTGTTTTCTTTTGCATTCTTTTAAATATTTGCACTGTATTTTATATTGTACCCGTTTCAATGGCATCTTAGTCTTTAAATTGTAATGTGCCCAGAGAGCTTGGCTATTGGGAGATTAAAAGTATAATAGTGTTCAGCAAGATACCTAAAAATTGGTTCTGCTCAGGAATAGACTGCATTGACTTGTCTGTAGGGGTCCATTGCTTTTCCTGACATTAAATGCTTCGATGAGATCATGCAGGGACTGAGTCAAGCTCTCACTCTCAAAATGTATCTCAGTAGTCATGGGTTTGGCAATAGTTGTGATCACAGCTGTTGATTGAACTCAACTGGGGCTTGTGCTGTAAAATTGCCATTTTTCAAGTGATGTCTTTGCATTGACCTATACCTAGGAAGGTTCTCTGCCAGTTTCATATTGTTGCTGTAATTGCGTATTTGGACTTTGTTCAGCAGAATACTTCTCTGACTTAAATCTACAGATGTAAGTTTTTGATGCCTTGTACTTATCACTGGTATTAAAAATGACTTTATTTTTATTTTTTATTTTGGTAGACATATCTCGCTGTGCAGCCTTAAGCTGTCAATATCGTTGCCATTCTTCCCCCTCTGGAGGAACATGCTATTGCCCTGCTGGATATATAATCAGTAGCAATGATAGTCGCACCTGCGTTGGTAAGTCAAGAACATAGATATTCTGACCATCCATCCCTGTAAGCATTTTCCCACAGCTGTAATGGGCATTAGGAACTCTTAGAGTGATCCTGTGGGTACTAGACATCATCTGGAAGGTCACAGGATAATTTAGATTCCCTGATCTGAGGCCAGAATCAGAACTCCAGCCTTAGACCTGGGAATCTTTCAGCTCCTTTTCCAAGGTTGGGAAACAGACCTTGAAGAAGGGCTAAAGGGGTTGAGGAAGAGAGTGGGCCCACCAGGCCATGACATATTCTTGACATATTCCAGTCTCCTTCCTTCCCACCTCAGAGCACTTCAGCCAGTTGATGGAAAACAGCCATCTGGCTAAAATGCAGAGTGGGAGGTGCAGGAGGATGGCGATCATCTCTAGGACTGATGCGCTATACTGGATGCTCATAAATCTCTCAGTTTGTGAACACTCGGGATTTTGAGTTTCATGTGCTCAGTAGATATGGAGACCACATGTGCTTGATTTTATCAAGGAGAAGACAAATACTGTGACAAAAGTTCAGAACATTGTAGCATGGGGAATCAATCTTATGAAGTCAAGAAAAACTTTAAAATTATATGCCAAACACTTGACTGAATGGGCAGTTCTGGGGTGCAAATTCCTGTTGCATAGGGATGTTGCAAAGCTGGAATTGAGGCTCCTATAAGGTATATTGGTAGTTATGTAACCTTGCAGTCTTTTAATAAAGAAGTAAAAGGACTATAATTTATTTGTCCAGAGGGTTGTCAATAGGTATTTATCATCATGCGCAATTGTTTGGGGAGTCTTAGGGGCTTTAAGCAAGTTACTCAGGGAAAGTTTTACAGTCCCTGAGCTACACCTCAATGGCTAGGCACCAAAGAAAATTGAATAGCGAAACCTGTATAAGGTATGGAAATGAAACAGTTTTGCTTCTGGGCTTTTTTATATTACTTATTTTGTTTTTGTTAGTCATGGAGTGGTTGCTCTCCAGTGTAGTCCTGCCCATGGGTCACGGGAAATCAAACTTCACCTTTGGAGACTGTGCCAGTGTAACCTAAATCAGCCTTCCCCAACCTGGTGCCTGTGGATGAATTGGACTACAGGCATAGTCAATTGACATTCTGTCTTCAGATGGGAGTTGTATTAGAATATATTTGGCGGACATGAGTTATGGAAAGCCTGGCTTAAATTATTTTAAAATGTGCCTCAAAGACATGAGAAAGGTGTCTTATTTTTTTAAAAAAGAGAGAAGCATAGAACATAGAAACAGAGCAAGTCAGACAGGGCCATCTAGAGAGCAGAGGATGCTGATTCTTCACCTTATCTATGGTTTGCTCTTACAATTCCATAATGTAAATTCTGTGGAAACTTGCATCAACCCTGCTACAGCTGTTTTTGCTCTACAGGAGACAGGGAAGTGGTCAAACAGTGGCTCCTAAGCTGTTCCAGATGGCTGCTAAGAACCAGTCTGTGCATATACTTTAGAGAAGCTTTTCCCTTCCCAGCTCTTTCTTTATTTTGTTGGGGCAAAGTAGAACAAGTAGACAAACCGAAGAAGGGAAAGCCATGTGCCCAGCTCTGGCCTGTGAGAAAAGTATTGGATGGGGTAGGTGCTTGGCACAACAGAAGGAGAAGTAGTTGCAATAATGTGGGAGGGTGTTATTGAAATGTTACTGAGCTTTTGTAGAGAGAGTGTGTGTTTAAAGAACACTGGCCACTCTATTACATGTTTCAGAGACATGCTATCCAGCTATGCCACTGTCTTTGTAGAGCCTGGGTGGGTAACTAGTGGCCATCTAGATGTTTGGGACCATAACTTCCATCATCCATGCTAGCACAGCTGGTGAAAGGCAATAGGCGCTTTAGACCAGAGCATCAGGCACAAGTTGCTCACCTGTGTTATTGAGGAACCTTAGATCATGTAGAAAATACATTGGCTCTTGCAGTACCAGGCCCATCACAATACGGCCATATGTAATGGTTTACCAGGGTTCAGTAAACCTCCTCATTTTGATGCCTGCCAGAACAAAGGTGTTACGAAGCACCTGATAATGATATGTATCAGTTGTGCAGACTTGTTGGGACTGGTCAGGTTTCATCTGGAGCCACTCAGTCTTTTTCACTATTGGTGATGCAACATTATTTTTAAATCACTTTTAAGGGTAGAATCATCTCAAGGTGACATAAAAAATAAAAACCATGCAAAGTGGATACATTTTTTAAAAATGCATACAGACCTGTTTTAATAAAATCCATCAATATCAATCAAACTTGTAAAATCTAAAAGTCCATTCTTAAGGGAAGGCCAATGAAAGCAGTTGGGTCTGCTTATACTTCAGCTTTTCTGAAGATCCACAAAGAAGGGACCTGATAAACATCTGGTTTAAGTTGATTCCAGAGATGTGAGGGCCATCTGTGAGCAGGTCCCCTTGTTTGTATCCACTAGCCTAACTGCCCTTGGTGGTGGGCAGGTTAGATAATCCTTGGTGTATTACCTCAGAGAGTAGACTGCTTTGAGAGAAGTAGTTTGCACTGCAAGGTAGGAAAAAATGGAGCTTGTTTCCAAACATTTGGCAGAGCCAATGATTTACTTCTTGTTTCCACTCACTGTCATACAAACAAGTCCTACTGGATTCACTTGGTTTTGTGCATGGGTGATTTGGTGCAGTATTTCAGTACTTGGTGCTTAAAGTTGAAAGCTGGAACAATCCAGATACATAATTCATACCCTTAAAACTTTTGGCCATGTAAGGTGCCACGTAAGGTGCTGAATATATATATCATTTGCGGCTGAAAACAGGAGCTCAGTTGACTGAATGCCCTTCCACACAAAACATTTCCTTCTCACAGGACACTTGAAAGCATAACAAAGGGCTTATCCTAGCCTTTGCCCTGTTTTTCTGAGTGCATTTAATTTGGAAGATTGTTCAGTCATGTCTACCCCCATTTGAACGGTACAAATCCAGCCTCAGTGAAAACTAGACCATTGTCTGTTAGTTTGTTCTTTGTGCTGCCTTACTGAGACAACTGAAAAGCCATTTACCTGTAAAGTAATCCAATTTCAGTTGTCCTTACAGTTTTTTGAGTTGGAGGAGTTTAAGCCACTAATGCCAAAAGCTGAGTTTAAATTAGCATCAATCATCTGATTGCTCATTGTATTGATAGCCATGGGATGAGAGAATAAGAGGCAATCTGGCTGCAGGGTGATTTCTGCAATGTCTGAAGTCAAACTGTCTGATGATACATTTTGCTTTAAAATAATAATGCTACTGGGAAAGTGTTCTTGCCCTGGTGATTAAAAAAAGTCTCACAATGATTGTAACAATTGATGAAACCCATCATTCCAGTTAGGCAGGATTTTAAGAAACCTCTTGTGTATTTTAAAGAAAGGCTATTTTCACACATTGCAAAATCAAATCAAGTTTAACAGCATAGAATTGCTGTGGGCTTCTTTCATGAATGAAGTGGACTGAGTGCCCATGACAGGTTGGTAACTATTTGAGTAAATTGGAGCAATTGATTCATTTAGATCTATTTAACTCTTGGAAAATGAGCCAAGTATTTTTTTTAAACTTAGAAAGCAACTGTGGGACATAGTTCTGGTTTTGATCAGAGTAGCTGTGGGAGTAGAAGTGAGAGTGGGTTAGCCCATGCCCTCATGCTAGTCCTCCAGTCTAAATTACCTCCCTCCAAGGCTGCTGTTGGATGCCTGGATTTTTCTCCAATGGGGTTAATAGCAGTGTTCACAGGGAATGATCTTGATTGGCAAAATAGTGTGGGACAGGAAGGTTAAATTCTAAACACTGAGTCCTCCACAGCTCTGTTTAAATTTGCAAGAACAATGGGTTATCAGATCAGTGATCACCTCTCTCATATCAGTTTTTGGCCTTAGAATACTGTTTATTTCAAAAAGAGCAGTTCTGGCACTTCCATGTTGCCCATAGTTGTAGCTTGCACTTTTGCAAATAAACAGAAGGAAAATGTATGTGTTCAGCAACCTTTGTAACCTTGTTTGTGTCATAGACTTTGACGACTGCAAGATGTGGGGTGTTTGTGACCAAGTGTGTGAAGACCGTGTTGGCCACCACCAGTGTCGCTGCGTGGAAGGCTATGTCCTGGAGCATCACCGTCACTGCCGGGCCAATGTTTCATGTAAGCCAATGAATCAGAAGAGGTTTTTTGTTAGGTTTTCCATTGCTGATTTGGAAGCTAACATTACAAACTGGAGAACCAGTGTGGTGTAGTGGTTAAGAGCATGGGACTGGGACTCAGATGACCTGGGTTCAAGTCCCCGCTCAGCCATGGAGCCAACTGGGTGACATTGGGCCAGTCACAGACTCTCAGCCCAACCTACCTCACAGGGTCGTTGTTGTGGGGATAAGATGGAGGAGGAGAATGATGTAAGCTGCCTTGAGCCCTTCGTAGGAAAAAGGCAGGATATAAATCCTAAATAAATAAATAAATAAATAAATAATCTTGTCATCCCTCAGATGCTTGACAGAAAGGCAATTACATAAGAAATGGAATGCCCTTGAGTATAATACAGGATCTGAAAGTGCTTTCCAACATTCCCTGGTCCCCGCCTGTCTCATCTATTTACTATTAGCTGGCTGTTGATGAAAGACCAGGCAATGAGTTTCCCGATTTTCTTTTACTAAGCAATAAAACAAAGAGTACAACCTATTCAAAGGGAACTATATCTAATCTCACTGATTTCAGTGAGTGAGATTTAAGTATGTGTTGAACTTTACCACTGAAATCAGTGCTACTAAAAAGTGGCATACTTGGACTGGATTGATGCTTACATATGCAGTTCTAAATGAGAAACTCATATTTTTTTCTTTGATAGCTTAGTTTATGCATTGTTTATCTTCTTCCAGAGATTTGGACTCAGCTTATGCATTATACCAACAATATGGGTATTATCATATAATCTTATAAACTGTACTCCCATAGAGATAGTTATCATTATGAATAGATTCTTTTGGGGTTAGGTGTGATTATAACATGGGCAGGTTAAACTAGGCTGAACCATATGGAGAGCTATTCATACAAGCCAATTTCATTGTATTAAATCTGCTCTGTTTTTAAAAGATTGCTTCTTTTGGATGTGTGATGCTTTTAACTTTCTAAACTTCTATACAGAACTTTTCTATATGAGGCATTTATCAAGCACTCATTGTTCCGTAGTCATAGTTGTTTATAGATTTTTAGATGATGTTGTAACATTCCAATTTGCTTTGGTTGTTAAGAGCATTTTCAGCAATTTTTTGGACCGGGCAAAATATAGTATTTAATTGTGAAACCAAAAGAAAGCAAGATTCCCCTCATGTTTTTGCATTATTCCACGATAAAACAGTGTTACCTAGAAGTGTTGTAGTGGAAAAGCTTGAAAAGAAACGTTCCTCTTGTGTTAAGGTCTCAGTTCTATGACAAAACTGAAGGAGATGCTGCAGATTAACAGCCGCAACTAGAAAAAGCCCAAAATTTAAAATTTTGGGTTGAAAGACAACTTAGAAAAAAATAGAAATAAATACCAATTTATCAGAAATAAATTGATAAAAATGAGATAAATCAGTAACTGTCCAGGTAGTTACCTAGGTGTTTGGGGAATCCTGTTCATCATTGTAATGTTGCTTATTGGGCATTTATCTCAGAGTTCCTATACAGAGCAAGAATTATGGATAACCTACCCTTAGCCGCTCTCCAGGCATCTTGAAAAACCCTGAGACACAACATCTTCTTTTCCCTAATACCAAAATGGGTAACCATCAGCTGGGAAGGGCAAAGGAAAGACTGCTGTTCCTTCACTAATATTTGCAGCAAGGAAGCCACAATGTTGATTGGATACGTGGTGGGGAAGCGGATACCCATCCATGTGTATTCTGAGAACTGTGCTTCGAAACTGCGTTTGTATAGGCACAGTCATCTTTGAGCATGTGTGCAAGTACACGAGCATGCATTTCCGTTCATCCCCTGGCATTGCACATGGCCCCTGGGACCAAAACCATTTTCCACTCTTGCTATAAAATACTGTTTCCAGGTGTGGTGGACTGGGCTATTCTTACTGTTACATCTTTGTGACCTGCCAGTTAAACCCTATCTGCAAAATGAAAGTTACATGGATGTCTTTTATGCTTTCAGCTGGAGTTGCCTCTGTCATTTTTTCCAATGGTCGTGATTTGCTGGTTGGAGATGTTCATGGCAGGAGTTTTCGTACTCTGGTACAGTCTCGGAATCGTGGAGTGGCCGTTGGAGTGGACTTCCACTTTCAGCTGCGTAGGATCTTTTGGACGGATACAGTGCAAGATAAGGTAGGTGAAAATGTCAAACAAAATGGTTTTCTTGGAAGCAAAGGGAGGATGTGTTGATAACTTTTCATTTCTGTGAAGAGAAGTGGGGCCTTCCTTTGTTTTCTAACAAAAACAAACTTTGAGATTTTTTTAAATAATTACTGCATCTGCAAGTTGTGCTCTCACATGTAATATGTGAAACAAAGCGAACTATTATGCTGTTGCATTATCTTGAGCAACTCTTAATATTATTGGAAAAGGAGTCCAAAAACCTAATTAAGAGAAATAGTAGACATTCTTTTAAAACTGGATGGATTTCTTTTTGTAATTTCTTGAAACCTGATCATCTAAAATGTGAAAGTACTGTGTTTTCCAAGAAGATAAAAATCAGATATTCCTCAGGTATATTATTGATAATTGAGCTTTGGGTAACAAATATTGACAGCAGTGTTCTATGGGCCAGTGTTTTATTTCATTATTTTTGTTCAAGGCATTGCTTTTATCATCCCATTTTATCCAAAAGATCTGTTTAACAGAAAACCCAAATGGTTCAAGTATGGAGGATTTTTTTTGGTTTTTTTGGAGAAGCAAATTAAAGAATAGGAAGGAACTTTTTAATCTTGCTTTTCAGGTGTACTGAAGAACATTTCACTGTCCAGTTCCTAAAAATAGGTTGAGAGGTGGGGAGAAAGATGTTTTAATATCAGAATAGGCTAGTTAGTAGTGATTTTGGAACTGGTTGCCTTCTCTTGTAGCTTGCTTGAGTTGACTAAAACTGTTTCAAATGGTGGGTCCTTTGAGGAGTTCTTATGCCTCTTCTTCATGGGAACTCTGAATCCAAGCCACAAATAATAGTCTGAAAAAAATGTTAATCATCTCACTACTTTATACCTTGACTGCTCACTTGTAGGCCAAGACAGTCACACATTATACCAGATTAACTAAATGTCGGTGTACTCAGGATTTACTGTTGAGGCTTAAGTCCACACTCAAATTCACAAAAGAACTGCTAGCGGTCACAACTTCCCTGATAAACAGCAGGAGGGCTCTTAAGCATTAAGGTGAAGAGGTCTTTCGGGGTATCAGGTGAAATCTTTTTCACTTCCCATCACTACTTCCCACAACAAACACCTTCACTGAGTGAGAGTACATTCTCTCACTGTCTTTAACAGGAGCCTTTGCGGAATTCTATTCCCTTCCATGAATGAAAACCTAATGCCCAGAAAACCTATTTTGGGAGGCTTTTAATAAATTAAACTGACAAATAGGAGGTGGTGAGAAATCTGCATTTTGCAATTGTTTTTATTTTTCTCTTACCTATAATTTTCCAATATTTAATATTGGAATATTAATAAAGTTATACAATCAATAAAGTTTGATAGTATTAAAGCAATTCTTAAACTGTGACTTATGAACCTACAAAGGTCCACCCTAACCCTTACCCTAATTCAAACTTTATTTTTAGGTTTTTTCTGTCAGCATTGATGGCTCAGACATCCATGAAGTTTTAAATGTTTCAGTTGATACACCTGAAAATTTAGCTGTAGACTGGATTAACCACAAGCTATATATAGTGGAGACCAGTGTTAACAGAATTGATATGGTAAATTTGGATGGAACTAATCGCATAACTCTTGTTGCTGAAAGTCTGGGAAATCCTAGAGGAATAGCTGTTGATCCTACTGTTGGGTAAGTAATGGTAATGAATAAAACAGGATCCTTTTCATTTTTGAACTGAAAAATTATAACCATTTGAAATAGCACAAACTGTGGAATATATACTAGTAGGAGTGGATGTTGGGGGTGAAGGCATTCGACTCATTATTCACTTCTTCCAGAGAAATTGGCATTTTCTGTTTTGTCACTTCTATTTTCCCTGACATCAGGAACAGCAATGCTTGACCTGGAGCATTGGTTACTCTTCTTCTGGCATTTTCTGGAGTCCAGAAGAAGAGTAACCCATCTATTGAAACTCTTCCTACTTATGTCTGGGATGTGAGAATGGCAGGGAGGTGCTGAGCACTTGCTGCAGTGCCAGTGCCTGGGAAAGATGGTCTTGACAAAAACTTGAAGGTAGTGAACCTAGTTATACCTTGGTTCAAGAGGTCTTTTTGCAGAGAGCTTGAGTCTGATTGGGATGACCGTACAGGTATGAGTGAATCCAGTTGATACAGAGCTTGCTTCAGTTTAGCAGGTGTAGTCTTTCAGTTATCTGGCAGTCCTGTTGCATTACCTGTGTTATATTAATCAAATGCTCCTGCTACAGCTTTGGGTTCATGGCAGTGCAAGCACTTAGGGCCCATTTACACACTATACCAGCCTTTTAAAATTGTTGAGAAATGGTTCTCGATGCCAATAGATTGCCATAGGGAAGCTGGAATCACTGGTAGATCCTCTAAATATTTTGTGGTGCAGGGGAGATCTGTGTGATCATGGATATATTATATATTTTACCTCTTAAGGAGCACCTGTCATTTGAAAGCATTTCCTAGTGACTCGTGTAACAGGAGCTCTCAAACTGCCCAGTATGCAGAATGTCTGGTGCCGTCTCTGAGTATCACATCAAAGCTAGACCAAAGAGTGGTCAGTGATGAATGATTAGTTCTTACAGAAGGGGAAGCAAGTCTGTATTGCACACACTAAGGCATCTGCTGGATGAAATCATAGCCTGTAATTTGATGCATTGCTATACCTGCATAAGACCAGTTGAACTTGATGTGCTTGGACTTGTACAGTACAACACCCCAAATTTGGGTTTTTAAACATGGAAACATATTGCTTTAAACTATGAAGGTTGCCATCTTAAGCTCAGTGGAGCCCACTTCTAGTAAACATGCTAGATTGTAAATTGTTTGACCATTCCATGTGGAGCTAATATGTACATGTAAATATACCTGCCAACATAGGATAAGATTTCATGCATCCAGCAATGTTGAACCCTAAAAGATTATGCCACAGTAAATTTGTTAATCTTTAAGAAGTCACAAGACTTGTTTGTAGCATCTATATGAAGACTGAATGACACTCAATAGAGTATTTTTCTTTTTTCCCCCTCTCTCTTCTGTAGTTATTTATTTTTCTCAGACTGGGATAGTCTCTCTGGTGATCCTAAAGTGGAAAGAGCCTTTATGGATGGAACAAACCGTCTGGACTTGATTAAAACAAAACTAGGCTGGCCTGCTGGGATAACTCTGGATATCATATCAAGGAGACTTTACTGGGTGGATAGCCGATTTGATTACATTGAGACTGTAACTTATGATGGACTGCAAAGGTAGGAGGAGGTTTTAATTTTTACATTTTCTTGGTCATACAGCTTGTAAATATAGAATCTTTCTATCCATTGTAGAATGTAATCCAGTACATGGAGAGAAGGGCTGTAACTCCCAGCATGCCCCAAACTGGCTAGAGCATGCTGGGAGTTCCAGTCCTTTTATCTGTCTAAACATGCATTGGATTGTGCCTTTGGGTATATAAAATTAAAAAAATATATATGTTGTGCATTTTTAATGAATTTCCATTAAATCAGCCAAGGATTTTAAAGCCATTTCCTAATTAGTAAATATTTTAAATTGTATAATTAAAACAATGATTTTTAGAGATTCATAACAATCCCTCTTAATTTCTGAACAGTTTAGATTATTAGTAGGAAAGTAGTACTGTAACTCTAATGCATAAATTGATCCCTAGATTATTGACTGGAGAGAGGAAAAATATCGCTGCCATATGTTGACCTGTAGGTTATTGGTAGACAATAATATGATTATCTTTCTGCACATATTGATTTGTACTAGGTGAGGGAAATGTTTCCTGGTTTCACAGTCAATCCCTAGATTATTTAAAGAAAAGGAGGCCAGCTCCTTGCATATTGTGGATTTGCTCCTTATTGGGAGGGAAGGAGAAGGGTTTTCTGTCTTCAGATTTTGACTACAAGACAATGGAAAGGAATTGGGGATGTGGATCTCTAAAGTGTGCTTAACTGTGCAGCTGGTTGCAAATGTAGTACAGTGGTACCTTGGCTCATGAACTTAATCTGTTCCACAACTCTGGTCACTACCCAAATTGGTCATGAGACAAGTCAAATTTTCCCATGAGGTTCAATGTAAATTATTTATTTATTTATTTATTTATTTATTTATTTATTTATTAAAACATTATAAGGTTAATCTGTTCTGAAACTATTTTTTATCACAAAAATTTGAAGCAAAGTGACAAAGAACAACAAAAATTGCAGCCATCTCCTCCACCCCCCAAGCATGACTGCGATTGCGCCCATGTTCCCTGCATGACCGCGACTGCTGTTGTGGCCATAGACAGGCACGGTCGTGCTCAGGCAGGGAAGACAGGCACGATTGTGGCCATCTCCTTCACTCCCCCC